TGGGGCACTACAATCTACCCTCCTTAGAAGATTTCTTTCCCCGGAAATAAAAGGAAACAAAGACAAAACTAGGAAAATCATGGTACATCCAAATACAAGGAAACCCATTCAGAACATAAAGTTCGGGTACTTCGTCCGAATATCGACCTCCCTCTCCCAAGTATCCTCGTCCTCGCCATGTCGGATCCACTGCACCTTGACGAGGTAAATGACTCGATTCCTCAGCTGATGAACCTTTCGGTCCAGTACGGCAATCGATACCTCATCATAGGTAAGGTCTCGCTCGACTTGCAACTCGCCAAAGTCCACCACATGTTAGGGGTCACGCATGTACTTCCGCAACAACGAGACATGGAATACATCGTGCACCCCCGACAAGTTAGGTGGTAAGGCCAGCCGGTAGGCTAAGTCGCCGACTCGCTGGAGAATCTGAAACGGCCCGATAAAACGCAGCTGAATTTTTCCCCTCTTCCCGAATCGAAACACGTCCTTCATCGACGAGACCTTCAAGAAGACATGATCCCCTTCCTCAAACTGTAAGTCCTTCCTACGCTTTTTGGCGTAGGACTTCTGTCGGTCCTGGGCGATCTTGATCCTCCTCTGGATCAACTCAACCTATGTCGCCGCTTTCTGGATCATCTCCGGACCCAGAATCTTTCTCTCACCAACCTCATCCCAATACAAGGGGGTCCTGACCTTCCGCCCGTACAATGCCTCGTATGGCGCCATTTTGATCGATGCCTGATAACTATTGTTATAAGCCAACTCGACCAGTTTCTGAGATTCCTCCCAGGATACACCCCTATCAAGCACCACTAGCCTCAAAAGATCCTCCAGGAACTGAATGGTGTGCTCAAAATGTCTGTCGGTCTCGGGGTAGAAGGCGGTACTAAAAGCTAAGTTCGCCCCCATGGCTAGGTGCAAACTCCTCCAAAACTGCCCAGTAAAATGGGGGTCACGGTCAGGTACAACTTTAACAGGCACCCCGTGGAGTCTAACTATCTCACTAATGTACAGCTTCGAGTACTGAACCATAGTCATGGTCATGGTCACAGGCAAGAAGTGTGTCGACTTGGTCAGTCGGTCCACGATCACCCAAATAGCATCCTTCCTGGATCTCGATCTCGTCAGGCCTACCACGAAGTCCATTGTGATCTTTTCCTACTTCCACTGGGGAATATCCAATGGATGGAGCTGACCGGACAGCCTTTGGTGCTCAGCCTTCACTCGCTGACACACCAAACAACCATCTACGAACTTAGCCACTTGGCGCTTCGTACCTCTCCACCAGAAGGACTTCTTCAAGTCTTGATACATCTTCGTACTCCCGGGATGAACGGTGTACGGGGCACTATGTGCCTCTCTCAAGATCTACTTCCGCAGCTCCCACACCTTCGGCACACAAAGTCTCCCTTCGAAGACCAAAGCCCCATCGGATGCAACTGTGAAACCTTCCACCTTGCCAGCCTCCATTAACTCTCTCATCCGGTGCAGAAAACGATTGGAGACTATCCTCTCCCGAAGAGGCGATGTCACGACTAGTGCTGCCAACACACCACTAGTCAACGGGGTCGACTCTATCGTCCTTAGCTTCATTCGCTCGAACTCCCAACACAACGCCTCTTGCCGAGTAAGCATACTAGACAACCCGCTATGACTCCTCCGACTCAAAGCGTCGGCGACCACGTTAGCTTTCCCGTGATGGTAGCTAATCATGCAGTCATAGTCCTTAACGAGCTCTAACCATCTCCGTTGTCGCATATTGAGCTCCTTCTGGGTGAAGATGTACTTCAGGCTCTTATGGTCGGTAAAGATCTCACACCTGCCTCCGTAAAGGTAGTGTTGCCAAATCTTCAAGGCATGGACCACTGCGGCTAAATCCAAGTCATGGGTAGGGTAATTCATCTCATGAGGCTTCAACTGCCTCGACGTGAATGCCACGACTCTCCCCTGCTGCATCAACACGCAACCCAAACCCAACTTCGAAGCATCACTATAAATGGTGAACTCCAAAGTTGGATCCAGAATGGTCAACAAAGGTGATGTGGTCAGTCACCGCTTTAACTCTTGGAAACTAGCCTCGCACTCGGGACTCCACTCGAATCTCGTAGCTTTTTTCGTCATCAGTTGGGCTATCTTCGAAAAGCCCTCGAGAAGTTGAACACAAATATATGACCCTGCCTCGCTCGTCTTATTGCCACGGCTACCAGCTCAACATAAAAAGAGAGATAATAGTGGGGGTGAGCGAACACTTGCTCACCGTGGGAATACCATGCAGTATAATCAATATAAAGACTTAGAATCATAATCGCAGCATGAACACAAATCGGCTAGTCTACCCTCCCTAAACACAGCCACGCTCATGTGATCACAGCCTTACCTATCAATCCTGCCAAAGATAGGAACAAGCCGTCAATCCTGACAAAGACGGGAGTCGTCGACACAACAACGACGGTAGCAACCGCTGATATACCATCACACGGACTAAACTCTCTAAAGGCTAGAGTTAGGCCTCATAAACTACCGGTTCACATGCATACATTGATTGTCAAGCCAAGAATTTATAAAAATTAACATACATGGTAAGGTTTATCAACACCCACCTGATTAATTTATAGCTGTTAAACAGTGAGGCTCGACTCCTCAAACACCTAAAATTTATTCAAGATAATATTTCAAAAATACTTATCCTGAAAATTAGGAATTAATACGAGAACTCATACTCAGTCGAAAAATTATCGACTAAGCAGCTCGTGTAATTTTATGGAATTTGGAACACTCAGATTTTTATAAAATCATATATAACTCCAAAAATGCTGAAACTTAGCAGTTAAATAGTTAACATAATTAAGAATTTTCATCCAAAATTTCAGCTCATTTGCATGTCAATAGGTCGGTGAACAATTAGGCTAAACGTTGTACATAAACATGCTCATGACACCTTCGAGTTCGATGATTTCTCTAAACTCATACACTTAACATTTGTGGCTGAAACTTGGTATTCATAATCATGACTCGTGTAAGACATGCTCATAAAATTTTCACATCATTTGCATGCTTGTGGAATGAGAAAATCCGAAACCAAAATCGCATTGACATGCTGCGGCCTTAACATTTTTATTTTACTCAATTCATATCATATTTGGTAGAAAATTGACATGCATACTCTCAAAACATATATAGAGTCTTCATAAAAATTTCATTAAAAACATTCTCGTAGACTGAGATAATCGACTTCAAAGTCGCAGCTAGAACAAGGCATGCGAAAACAACTTGTACGATTAACTTCATAAGGTTGTATCACTTGCTATACTCATCAAAATGGCATGAAATTTTACAAGCAACCTCATAACACATGAAAGACATAACCCTCAAAAGCTCAATTTAGCAGGTTGTTCATATCTTGGTCAAATGCTACATGAAACATCACATATTTTCAAGCATGCAAAGTGGTGATACTTTCTAACCTATTGCATGTATATAAACTCTTAAAGGCTGCAACTTGAACACATTATTACACACATAAATACACATATTCTCAGCTACTTGCATATACAAAAGTGAGCCTCTTACCTTCTTCAAGGGAACAAGAAAAACGAAAGGAAGAAGGTGACTCGGGTGGTGCGGTTTGCTCCTTTGCTCACGGCTTTTGAATGAACCCCCGGTATAGCTTGCCTTAAACTGGTTTGAACTCGACTTTAAGCTTCTAAATCAAGGTGGTGAGGTGTGGGAATTGCTGGTGTTGGCTCTCCAAAGGTGGTGAAGCTTGGAACCTCCCGATATGCAAGCATGCACTCGATTGTGCTCGGTGGAGAGGTAAAGGAGGAGCTCTCGGCTTTTGCTGTTGCTAAGGGGTTTGAAGGTGTCTCTTGGAGAGGTTTTGAACGAAAATACTAAGTGATAAATGGTACATTTCTCAGCTGAAACGGGGTTATAAAGATGGATGAAGAAGGTGGTCAAAAAACTAGAGGGAGACAATGGGTATCAACCCTTTCCAATGTTGGTCATGTGCAAGATTCTTGCATGCTAGCATGGTATTTTACAAAAAACAAAGCACTAAGGGCTGAGACCTGACCGAAAGCATCAAATGAGTTGGGAGACAAGGTGTTACAACTATAGAATAATATACTATTTTGCCATGCTAGCTACATAACAATAAAATAATTTTAATCAAGTGTAACTCTTGATTAGTACTTACTAACCTTACTAGACTTATTTCTAAGGCCATGAGAGATCCTTAGGTATTCTATGGCCATGTAAGGTATATGGTTCGAGGTTCGGGTCGAAACGACACAAAAACAAATTGAAACGGATATAAATTCGGTTTACGCGATTAAACCAAAAATTGCCGAAATAAATGAAATTTCTAATCAAATAAATCATAATAACTCTATCGCATAACTAATAATATTAGATGATCACATAGATCATTTCACAACAATTAAATATATATAATTAAGCAGATAAAACAATTAAAGCAAAAACAAACAATAATAAGATGAAAGCAAATAAAAAATTATATATTACAAAAATAATCACATAAAATCCAGGAAATTCTAATAATCGAATGAGGCACTACATATTCAGATGATGAAAATATGGATAAGGGGTAGTGAATCCTCGATAAATAATGCGAAAAATATAACATAATAGAACCCATAAAAGAAGGGTGCATCTCGAGAGTATAAATCTCCGTAACTCTGCCACTCATTATTGTTATCTGGGTTCATAATGAGATATCTAAAGGATCAAAAGCTCTTTTTCGCTTAACCCCTTGTGTTTCTATTGAATCTTGAAATGTGATGCATTGTTGAAGCTTTTTGATAAGCTCAACAGACGCATTTGCAGATTTGAATACTTCTCTCATTGAAGGAGATATAAAGGTTTGATATACTCATTCGTCTAAAAATCCAAGAAAACCATGAAAAAGGTTATTAAAATTCAATAGACTTATGGGTTTCTTATGAAGTTTTATTTATGCCCAAGAAGCAATGGTAAACATCTTCATTAAAGTACCATAACCGCCTGGAAGAATGATAACATCATCGCTATTGTTCACCATATCAATCATACACTCATAAATAGAATGAGTTAGCATCAAACTTGTGGAATCTTTGACAACCCTTGTTGAATACCTATGAAAAGGAATAATACTTTTCACTTCTATCTCAAAACATTTTTCAGCCATTAAAAGATTATCAAAGAAAGTGATGCTAGTCCCTTCATTCATTAAATTGATTTTTTGATTCCCCATATCCCTTACTAAATGACTTACAATATCAATATTTTGAGAAAAGCTTATCAGTTTAGAACCACCAAGAACACACATGGTTTTGATCGGATGAAGAAATCTATTACCTTGCGAAGATTCTGAAATATCAATCTATTTATTGATAAACTAAATTTTGTGAGATATATGATTATGATGAATGACTCGCTATTTAAAAGGGAAGATTCACAAAATGATAACCGAAAGATAAGGCGTTGGGTTTTAAATGAATCTTATATGTCGACAGCTATAAGATTTTCTGAACAATTACAAGTGAAACATACTAAATTGTATTAATATGATTTTCGCACTAATAAGAGAAATTTTTACAAACTTGATCTTTTGAAAAAATAGTTTCGAGACTATAACGTTCTTCTTCATTTTTGAAACGAATCCATAGAGATATAAGCTCACGATGCACATAACACTAGGATGTGTCTCAAGAATTTTTTGAATCGTTTGATCTGTAGATTCTTTACTCAATCCATCTTTTATAAATGTTATTTTTGTCTTCTCGATTTTTGGACACGAACCTCACAGATTTACATCACGTGTCACAAGTCCATAGAGCGCGTTTGAAGCATCCACCTATTTGTTTTGCTCTTCGTTTCAAAAGTACTCTTACCCATACCTGACATATATTTGTATGAATTTGAAAAGTCTCCAGACAATCGAACTTTTGCTTTAATCAACCATCGAATATCACTTGGAATATCATTAATCATTAACATCCCCAATCTTTCTAATCGAGATCAATAAATTCTTTTTATGATATTTATTGGAAGAAAAATATAATATTACAGATAGTTGAGAGTGCCAAATCCATTTGTAAATTCAGAGTTTTGTTAAGGATTAATTGCCTTATAATTTATAGAAATGACGCGTATGCGATACGACTCTAAAAATAGAGCTTTAAAGTATGTGTGTCAGAAGGCATGATCCGTATATAATATGATTCTAGATTTAAATATTGTGTGTCAGAATCTGGACTTGAAGTGCATTTGTTGTCGCCGAAAGATGATGTGATATGTTTGTGATAAATGTGTCACAATGAATTATTGTGATGTTTACTGATATAAATGATGATGGTTTGCATGACTAACTGATTCTTTGTGATATGAGATGCTTTAATCTCAATTGGTGAAAATTATTACTAGCTTAATATTTGTGAATCGATATTTTATCAATCTGAGTACGAAAGGGGTACGATATATATGAGCCCACTACCCCTCTATGTGTGCTACTAGATATTATGGATCCACTAGATAGCCACATGTGTGTGATCCGTAACCTGAAGTTACAAGAGGATTTGATCAAATAATGGATATATGACACCATGTTGCGAGATGATTTGATCAAAAAATGTGTATATGACACGTAACCTGAAGTTATGAGATGGTTTGATCAAAGAATGACACAAGATGGTTATGAAAGAATGAAAATAAGTGTCATATGAAAGTGATGAAGCCAGTAATATACTCAGCTAGTATGATGAACTCTTGAAAGAAAAATGTGCATATTAGAAGTGATATGGGTTCAAAGTTCTCCTATCATATGTTGAATTCGAGAACGAAACGGAGACTATATGAACTCCCCTCAAGAAACTCAATACTGAAAATACAGATCAGAGATATGCTAAGATGAGGGGGAGAATCAATTATTGAAATTCAAAAATGATATATGCATCACACTGAAAGTGCGCAAATCATAAACTGAATGATACTGATGGTGGTGAATTATATGAATGATATGATGGTGGAATAATATGTTGGAAGCGTTGGCATTGTGCAAATTGAAATTCCCCAAATAAGTGATGAAAAGAGGCATATATACTATTAATGAAATCAATTGATAATGATATATCACAGTATTACGGGGGAATAATGGGAATAAATATGTGTCGACACAAATAAATGAATAGCGCTATATAAATTATATTGATGAGAATGAAATCAGTTGAAATGTGAATATTGGGAACTATTGCAGTAAGACCATTGAAATCAATTGATGATGAGAATAAGTTTAAGAATAAAAGTTGCACAAAGCAAGATATGTCATATTATCATGAATACCATCAGTATCTGAAAATCTGAATGAATCTATATGATACTCATACAAATTATGGAAAGATTGTTATGATGAATATATGGAGTACGAGTTGTACTTTTTTTCCCTTGGCTGAGGTCTTGTCCCATTGGGTTTTCCCAGCAAGGTTTTTTAATGAGGCAATAGAGATGGCGTATTCACATGAATAGTGTACTCTTTTTCCTTCATTAAGATTTTGTCCCACTCAGTTTTTTCTAATAAGGTTTTAACGAGGCATATTCATGGTATAATGAAGAATACTGGATAACAGATTAAATTCCTCATGATGATAGAAAGAGATTGGAGTAGGTGTACACTTTTTCCTTCGATCAAGTTTTTTTTCCCACAGGTTTTCTTGACAAGGTTTTAACGAGCCAGCACGTGGATACTCCACTAAAGACGATCTATTTGAGGGGAAACAATATTTTGCTTCCACAATGCTCAGGTGAGGAATCAATGTTATGATTTCACGATGATCAAGTTTTGTCCCACCGGGTTTTCCTGACATGCTGAAGTAACGTTACCTGATGGCCACAAGATATACTTGAAGATGTGCAGATTGGGCTTTGTTCAAGTAATGATTTGAATATGTTTAGAAAATAGTCATTCAAGGGGGAGTGTTATAAATATATATGGTTGGTTGGTATAACCACCACCATTAATTTTATTATAAAATAAACTATTTTCCCTTGATGTAATTGTATTATTACGGTTGTGGCACCAGTAGTTTTCCTATAAATAAGAGCTTCAGTTATAATGAAAAACACACCAAGAGAATATATATTTTCTCTATTCTCTCTTTTTCCCTTTGTTTTTATAACAATTTTCAGTGTTACAATTTTTAGATATAATTTTTTTATTTAAGTAACACTCATGTTAGAGATACTAGTTGAATATGAATTATAGTTGACACAAAAAATTCAACACAGGCAGTGCCTGGGTTGGTCCAAAATAAATTTATTCGTCTATCATGTCCTTCTAAATTAATCTTAAACTCAATTTTCAATTTATTAGCCGACTTGAAAACTTTATAGAAGAAACTAGGGCGTGTTTGCATACAAATATATTCACTCAAAATAATTATAGAAGAAACTAGATATTATTTAATTATATTGATAATATCGAGAATAATGAAGTTTAGTTAAAGACGAGTTAAAATTTTGAATATGTATTAATTTAGTTAAAGTTGAGTTAGATTTTGAGTATGAATTAATATGGGTTGGGAAAATTTGTATACAAATCAAAAATTAAAATTAAATATTTTGAGAGATGAAAAATAATAATCCCAAAAATTATATAAAATTCAAGATGTAGTAGCATCTTTGGGGTTTCAACTGCACAAAAGCTATGGCCACTATATCTTCTCTGCACCTCTCATTTTCTCCCTCCAATCCTTCCCTGCCACAAGGTCCGCCCACCTTCATTACTCTCTTCGCTCTTACAGTTCTCTCATGGTGTTAAGTTACATTCTTTTCTCATCTTCTTTTTGTTGGGTTTTTTCAAGGCCCATGGAGGAACAAGAAACCCAGCATTATCTGCTGCAAGGCTGAACATCAAAATCAATGGCAATAATTGTTGAGCTTTATCCCGCCCGTAATTTTATTTGGTCTTTTTTTGTTTTTCTTCTTTTAAAGCGAGATCAAATTTCTGTGCTTGTTTGCTAACAGTGTGATTGTTGGAGAAGAATGTGGTACGAGGAGGGAGCTGATGATTCAGGCATTGACTGCTGCTGCGGTTACTTTTCCTGCGGTTGGTTCAGTTGCTTTGGCGGCTGAAAGTGGTATCTTTTTCCGTTTAATTTTCGTTTCTTTCTTTGTTGTTGTTGTTGTTATTGTTACTTGTTTGGGACTAAAAGGCTATGTTGTTGTTGTTGTTGTTGTTGTTGTTGTTGTGGCTGTTGTTGTTGTTGTTGTTGTTGTTGTTGTTGTTGTTGTTGTTGTTCCAAAAGGGCGTATTTGATTTGCAATGTGTGTGCAATTGAATTGGCTAGTAAGTTGGTCATAATCTTGAATGTGTAGATTTGACAGAGGATTTCCGTGTTTACACGGATGATGTGAACAAGTTCAAGATCAGTATTCCTCAAGGTTAGTGCTTGTGTATAGTCATCCTGAATTTATTTCGAGTATGATTGTACTTTTGCCTTCCAGAAGAAATAGATAACCGGCACGAACTGATATTTTTGCCAGAAGAAGTTGCTGATGCTCGGCTTATGTTCTATTAATGGAGTATACGTATGTCTTATAGATGCCGCTAGACTAAGTTTTAAGGTAGGAATAAATTAAGTGATCTGATTGAGGGGTATGTACTATGGTCTGCTGCTATCATATGAAAAGTTTCTAGTCCAAAATGGGTTTGATCTCTCCTAACTATTTCCTACGGCAAGAACATTTGCAACATGCGGAAAATGTTCTGTTTCAGACAAGCCGGAGGTCATGTTCAATACAAATTAATGAGTGGCTATTGAGTATCAAGTAAATTAGTATGGATGCATTCGGTTATGACCTCCAATATCGTAAACCAGACATTGTTTCAAATTCTTTCATGTGGTAAGAAAAGAATATCGATGAATGAATTAGATGATTTGGTTGAGGAAGACCCCTCTCGCTCGTTTTCTGGTGATCAAATACCAGCTGAATTGAGGTCATCAGGTGTCTTGTTTTGTCTGGTAATTTGATGTATCACTCTAGGATATGAATGAATTCTGTATTTTTGTTTATGCTGTCACTAAATTCCAACAGTGAGTTGTTTCTTATTACCATTCAATCTTGTAATTTTTTTCCAATTATTTTACCAAATATTTATTTTAAAAATCTGGTGAGAATTGAAGGACGTAGATCTCTAACTCGCTAACGAGATGACTTGTATGCAGATTGGCAAGTAGGAAATGGCGAAGGTGATGGAGTTAGGTCACTGACTGCATTTTATCCTCCTGAGGCTTCCAGTGCGAACGGTACAAAAATATAAATTTGTGGAACATTTTGCTTGATGTGTACTCTGATCTTTTTTTTTTAAAAAAAAAAAAAAAAAAAAAAAAAAATCACATATATTTCTTGCTGTAGTGAGCATATTAATCACGGGACTCGGTGCCGATTTCACCAGGTTGGAGTCTTTCGGCAAAGTTGATGAATTTGCTGAGACTCTAGTAAGTTTCCTACATTTTTACCACCAGGAAAAAAAAAATACTATGAAGAAAATGTTTCCTGGTGGATCGTGTTTTATCCTCTGAATAAAATTTGGTCTTCGGAATAAATATCTACACTCATTTTCAGATTGGTGGATTGGACAGAAGTTGGCAGAGGCCCCCTGGAGTTGCAGCAAAACTCGTAGATACCAAAGCTGCCAACGGTAGTGAGCATTATTATTATTATTATTATTATTATTATTATTATTATTATTATTATTATTATTATTATTATTATTATTATTATTCTTATTATTGTTATTATTGTTATTATTGTTATTGTTATTATTGTTATTGTTATTGTTATTGTTATTGTTATTGTTATTGTTATTGTTATTGTTATTGTTATTGTTATTGTTATTGTTATTGTTATTGTTATTATTATTATGCGTCCTTTCTATAAGCATTTGATATTCTAATATCATTATGTTGACAATGCTTAAATATTCAATAGTTATGTTGGCTCGTTGTGATCAGACTTATAGTATTTTAATGTAATCCGACACTAGTTATAATACCGTTTTTGTAGTTGAAACTCTGTAAATGAGCATTCTTCTTCCTTTTCTTCACCTTTTGCAAGTGAGACGTGTACTCTTGTAGGAATCTGTTTACCAACTTCAATAGCTTTGAGCATGTTACTATTCAGGTCCAAATGTTAATGTTTTGTTTCTTAGGGTTGTATTATATAGAGTACACACTACAGAAGCCAGGCGATAGTCTCAGGCGTTTGTTTTCAGTTCTCGGGATAGCAGATAATGGCTTTTACAACAGACTATATACCCTCACTGGACAGGTCAGCTCCCGTTGAAAGCAAGTTGATATTTTTATTACTCTACCAACTACATTTACTCCATTGGTGTGCTGCAGTTTTTCGATGAAGAAGACGAAAAATTTGGTCCCAAGATTCGAAAAGTAAGCCATGTAACATAAATATCAGATTAATCGATTTGATATCAATCCTTTCTCCACCTTTTAAACTTATATTTAGCCAGGTTCTTGATAAATATGCCTTTCTCCACCTTTTAGCTATCACTAAGCAAGTATTTTTGGTTTCTTAGTCTGTGTAGTTTGATACAAATAAACCTGTAAATCACTACTTCAGGATCCAGGAAAAAAAAAGAATCGAAAAAGAAAAAAAATAGGTTGTTAATTGTAGTAATACCAGTTTCTGCTTCTAACAGTTGGTTTTACGTGCAGGCTGTTTCATCTTTCAGATTATTTTAACGATTCATTCAGGATGTCTGAGGTTTAGGAAAGATCAGATCCGAAGTCTGGATAACGACGATATCCTTTCAGGTGAAGAAAAAAGGTGCTCACCCGGGTAAAACCTTGTAGCATTCGGTTAAAATACCTGGGAATGCTGATTTTTTCACATTTACTCATTCACATTGAAAACATCAAATACTTTTCTTAGCCTCATTAGGCCAAGATATTAATAAATACTGCAATTTTTCAGCTTGTTGAAGTTGATTATTTCTTTGCTTTCCTTTTCCTTTTGTGGTAGGTGGATGTTAGAGGTTTTGACGTCGAACGCTTCAATTTCAGGAGGCGCGTAATTTGAGTTATTTATGAATCGAACTTTGATGATAGATTTTGTCACTCTTTCCCTTGAATGGCCTCTTGTTTGTTTTATTTCAATTGAATTTTACACACTGTTGAAAATTGTTTTAACTTTTCATTTAAATGAAGTTCATGGGATAACTCAAAATGTATTTGGTTATATGAGCTTTTGTTTTCTTATGTGAAAGCTCAGTGCAACTATATTGTCATCCTAAGTACAAATCAGAGTCTTGCATCTTAACCAAGTAATCTGAAACACAGCACACACCAAATGAATACACTTTTCATCTCGTGAATAAATCATTCCCAATGTGTAATTCCATTTTTACTACAAAAATATAGTACAACACAAGGTTTAAATGGATGCTACCTAACCTAAACCAAATAAAAGAAGTAAGAAAAGAAGAAAAAAAAAATTCTCAATCAATATTAATAGTCTCGCCTATGTTATCCCCAGTTTTGTGTGGAGCATTTTTCCGAAACAAAAGAGTGAGTCGGTCGACAAACAGGCTGTTCTGCATTTGCTGGAACTCCCGGCGCTTGCGATCCATTTCTAACTCAAAATCCTCAAACTCATGAATCTTGCTTTCAACCTCCTTCACCTACATTTTCAAATTTACAGCGCAAAAAGAGGAACCAGAATAAAATTTTTTAGAATTATGAATAACAAGCAGAGAACTAAATAGTGAATACGGAAGGAAATGACACCTGAGTTGCAATTCCAGATATTACTTTCTCTAGCTCATCCTCTTCCTTCTCGAGCTGCGATTTGGCATCAGCAAGAGCAGTTTCTTCAACCAGACTGGACTTATTGATATCATTAGATACATCATTGAATTCTGCATTGAACAATATAGGAAGTTAAGACTTAAGAGTGAATTTCATATTTATTCTTTGTTTATTATTATATCAATTTATTCCCCATTGAACCAAGAGAACAGGGGGTTGCACCTTGGTCCGTTATTTGCCTCCCAAAAACTGGAAAATCTACTTTTGTTGCTCCTTAATGCAAGTGAATAAAGAGATACCACCACAAGTGAATAAATAGATACCACCACTACTTTATAATGCTACATAAAATCAAATGATTTGTGTAAAATTGAAGAAAAGGGAATAAGAAGGTATATCAAGAATCAATCTTCCATGGCAAATAAATTCTCTTGATTTTACAAGATTAGGAGGTGACAATCAAATATAAGCTAGAAGAATTCAGATGTCCATGGTTTTACTTCCTAATAAATGACTTTCCACATCAAATATAAGCTAGAAGCGTTCAGATGTTCATAGTTTTACTTCCTTATACATGACTTTGCACCCTACTTTTGTTTTATAAATCCGCTGTCAGTCGTGAAGTGAATATTTCTCAGGTCAAGTGTCAATCAGGCAAAAACAAAGGATCTTTGGCACTTCAGTCATTTACTCCTAAGAACTTGCAAAATTATGTAGTATGGAACAATTACTTGAGAATTAGAGAAGTCAATTTTGTATAATAGGAAGATATCCGCATTAAGTAATTCTCTTAATTTTCATTTTTCTCATATCCTTTTTAATTGTTATCATTTTGTTCTCAACTGTCTGCTCCGCTGGCCAGAATGGGGGTTAAGATACACAAAGATATTAATGTGTTGGGACACTAATTGCATAAGAAATTAAAGAATTGAAAAATCAAATCAAAACCCAGCAACCAGTATCACAATCCAATTAAAACATACCGAAAATGGCCTTTAGTACCTTGCTGTTTATTATCACCAAGATCATACAGAGCTGTCACTGCTGCATGTGCAGCCACTTCTGCAACATTCACTCCAACCAATGTTGAAAGGAAAGCAGCCTGAAGATAGATTTATTAACAAACTGAACTTAATAAAAACACCAAAATCAAATCTATCTATCACAAGCCAGAACAATGTCAAACAAAACAACACAAGCCAGTTCAATTTGGGTAAAATAGCAGATTATTTTCCATGAGAACACAAAGACTGTCAACATCCACCAAATCGTCAATGGCAGAAAACTTAATGCCTTTCTAAGAAATTTTATAAATATTGGAAAGATTTTTTCTTTTATCTAAACTTTACAATTTATACACATCTAATAATATTTCTCTACAAACTATTCCTTTTAACCAACAGAAAAAACAAACGAGGTTGTGCTACCTGCGCCATAATTGGGTTGCTTGCATCTGCAAGTGGCGAAAGGCGCATCCTTTTGGCCTCCACTCCCGCATTTTGCAAACCTGACTCGGCATCCAGCTCAGCAGATTCTGGAGGGCCGTCAAACTCTTCGCCAAATGGAAGCTTTAAGAACCGAGCTACGCATTCCTTTGCGGTTTTTCCACTAACATGCTCCGCTACCTTCTTCCAGTCATCACCATAATGCATGATGGCTTCTAGGAGCTGCAAAGTCTCTTTATCCGTCCAGTCCGTCTTGGCTTCTTCACTAATCTCGACTCGCTTGAAATCCGCAGAACTCAAACCCACCCGATAATTGCCCCTCACGTAACACCTTGCGCAAAGGTTCATATCATGCTACGTGCAAGATCGAAAACCAGCTCAGATTTCAGAAAATGGATACGAAAGGGAGAAAAAAAAATGCATTCTCTACAAGACTAATAATGGAATGACAAAGAAAGTAGGCAAGCGATCGATATTAAGCAAAAACCTTATCAGATGCGAAGCAAGCAATTGTGCAAGGAGTCTTGCAGCCATTGCAGACCCTCTTCTTCTGAGCAGAAGCATCGGTGGTGGTTCCGACATCACCGCCTTGAGCGGCAGACTTGGTCTCTTTATCTTCCCATTTCAGCTGGGGCCTTGTGGATCCTGCGTAATTGATTAAACCCCAGGCCTCCAGGAAATCGAAAACCCTCCGGATAGACCCAACATCGCCCACCAGCGTCTTCCGCACGTCGGTGAAGGTGATTTTCCGGCTCGGATTTTCCCGGAAGCGCCGGACACTGGTGTTACGGTAGTACTTGTAAACCCTAGGGTTCTTCGCAGGCGACCGGCCGTCGAAGAACTCCGGGAGGAACCTGGCCTCGCATTCATGAATGCCATTCCACGAGAACCACCCTAATCGAAGCAATACGAATGATAGAAAACAATACGCACATACAAATCAACTATTATATACATAAATTGGATGATAATGTACGTACGGGAATAGCTGGGGATGTGAATAGCATCGGCGTCCGGATCAGGATGGCGGGGAGTTGCGGCCGCCGGAGTGCCGGCAGGAGTGGATGGGGCGGAAGTGGGTGCAGGGGTGGCTGCAGCGACGGTGGATGGTGGAGGAGGAGCGACGCCGGTAGGTGTTGCGGGGAGGGCGAAGGGAAGCTCCGGCGAGGGTTTGGGGGGAGGCGTAGTTTCACTGGCCATGGTCTTTTTTTTTTCCTGTTTTTTAATTTTTAGTAAATATATTAATCTGAATTTAGGATTTGGTCGACTAAATTTCATACTTTCAGCTTGATAAAGTAAGGTGAAATATGCTGGAGGGAAAAAAAATTTGTTAATCAATTTTTTTATTGATAGAAGATATATAATAGAAGAATTAATAATACTAATACAAAATAAAATGTTATGAAAAATAATAATTAATTATGAGTTATAAAAAAGATTTTAAAATAATAATTCATAATTATAGATATGTTCCTAGATGAACATTGGATTCTTTTTTTATATATATAAATGTATAGTGATGATAGAATTTTAAGGGAATGAAGTGAACAAAGTGAATAGAGGAACAATATATATTTATTTTTAATAGTTGGGTGTAGTTATTCGAGCCAAGTTCGCAAACTCAATGCAATTTAGTTCGATGAAACTCGAGTTTTACTTAAACAAGTTGAACTCGAACAATTTATTTGTTAAATGAGTTGAGTTGAGATTGTCCAGAAACGACTTATTTATTATTTTTTGAATTTTAAATGATACGAGAGAGCCAAGTTTGTGCTTGAACGTTTTGTTGATGAAGATTGTGTATGGAATATCCAATACATAACAAAAGTGTAAACCCGCACTAACAGCCGTCGGTTGATACAAAGATTGGTGCTCGAAATGAGCTTTTTTCTTAATTATTATTGCATCATCTTCAAATGAACAAGTCTGAGTCTTTTTAAGAGAAAAATAACAAAATTTATCCTACAACCTGCAATAAGTATCATCAAAAAAGAGTTTGAAAATTAAATAAAACTACTCTGCTCATGCACGAACTGTTGTTGGTGAAGAAACTGTCGAGGTTCCCATCATTTCCGCCCCCTTCACGAATATCCTTGTCCTCAAGGATAAAATTTTCTAAAGTCGCCTCCTCATTCTTGTTCATTCTTGTATTGCTCGACTCATGTTTCTCTGCAAATTTTGTTATCTTCCTCTTGTCACAAGCTTCAATCCTCCAACTGATGGCCTTCGCAATTCGACGGGATCACGCCTCACTTACACGACCTTTCTCCGCTATCGTCATCTTTCCGATCCGACGTGACCAATCCTCCGCCCGTGCACATTGACTCAATTTACGGACTAGACCTTGATTTTGTCAAATCGTCGTGAACACACATTTTCACGGCCCACGCCACCGTGAATTGCAATCTATTTGAACCACACTTTGTTTACGCGTCAATGCGACTCCAATTCATCATAAAAAAGTTCAACCTTTGCTGATACCAATTCAGCCAAGTTCAATAATGAATAATAAGCACCACATTCATCCGTCTCATGGGTCTCGCCATCAAAACGAGGCGGTCCGTCATACTTGATCGACGTTTGTTTATCCAAAAACTCAGCGGCTTATAGGCCTCTCAAAAACTCGAGATTCTCGAATAATAATGATGGCCCTAACATCGATCGTCGGCGGACCAGCCCTCGTCCTGCTGGTTTTATCCCCTCGACCGGTTGTCTTCGTCTTTTGCAATTTTGCTCTAAATTTTAGTCCTTTCTCGAATTCGGTGGCCCCGTCTGGCGACAAATCTCAGATGGCCCTTCGCGTTCGTCTACGTTTTGGAGAAACATCCTTTCGTTTCGCACGATGACTCGATTCGTCGATTGTTAGTCCTTGTTAATTTAACATGCACTTTCCTCCAGACGATCGATTCACTCTCGGTTTGACATAGGTACACAATCGAAATCTTTCAAAGAAAGCACAAATGATGATGACTGTGTATCGAATACGTAACAAAAGTGTAAACCCGCACTAACAGCGTCGGTCAACACAAAGATTGGTGCTCTGAAATGAGTTGTATTCTTAATATTGCATAATCTTCAAATGAACAAGTCTGAGTCTTTTTAAAAGAAAAGCCACTAAATTCAACTTACAACCTGCACTAACTATCATCGTAAAAGAGTCTGAAAATTAAATAAAACTACTCTCGTTCATGTATGACATGTTGCTGCTGAAGAAACTGTCGAGGCGCGAAGGTGAAACGGCGTCGCGGCGTTACAGCTGGTCACTCCCCAATGCCTCGTGAGGCTGGTCGCGGTGTGGCAAGCGTAGCGGTGCGATGCTCCACTACATCCTAGCATGTGTCCAGTTGTGATGGTCATCGCAACGCGACGCCCTGCTGCTCTTAGGTTGGCACGATCACTCGGTTCCCATCACGTGCTAACAACTTCGTTTGGATATTCAATTTTGAGAAAATAACCATTTACACCCTCTCTGAAGATATACTAAGTTTTTTCGCGCCGCTCACTGGTAAGTTATATTTTTTACCACATGAGGTATTGTGCGATGAATATGCGACAGTTGTGGGATGAATAAGCGACAGTGATGCGATCCAGTCGCATAACCCCTCGCACTCTCTGGGTGAAAAAATTGCAAATACATTGTGTGATTAATATAGACAGTTATGTAATTGATATGCGATAATTATACTAACCATTCACATAACTTTCACACTTTTCGGGTGAAAAAGTTAGATTGACAGGCGATGTAAAAAAAAAAAAATAACTTTATAGTAAGATGAAAATAATTTTAACCCTTTAGTTTTATTAATAAAGCTAGTTGAACTTCATGAACTTAAACGTTGCGCTCTAGCCAGACCTTTTACTCATTTATTAAATAAATCGAGCTGAACCAACTATTTTATTAGAGTAACATGAATTGTTCAATTCAGTTAAGATAATAGAATGAAATAATTATTCAGTTACATACAAACCGTTAAAACCCTTGAAACATAATGAACCAATATGTGGCCCTATGGGTGGAAATTTATTTGATAACCAGAAATAATTTTAAAAAAAGTTGATTGAGTTAGATTTGTGTGAGATATTTAGTTTGTATAATATTTAAAATATAATAATTAAAGTTGATTTTGTTAGTGTTATATACTGAAAGCTTGGTTTTGGATGATATTACACTTTTATCCTTTATGAATGAGAAACATGTTTGATTAAACAAGTTCTACGTTCTGTTGTTTTGCATTAGATAGTGTGGGTCGTCATCGGGCGAACCGAAGATCATGCTATCAGTTACTCGCGAAACAAGAATAATTGGTTCACAACCCAGATGGACATGAACACCCCATCGTGAACGGTTGTAGTGTCAATCGTACAGTTTATCTTGACTGATTAGTTGCACTAGTACATTTATGTATTGAACACGATCCCAGAGAAGAGCAGTTCGTTTTATACTGACCGTCGTAAACGAACTAGGCCTTGGTTAATTACTGCGTACTCTTAACTCATAAGATATTAAACAAGCATATATGTGTAGTACTTATTATTTTGATTCATATGGGTGAGGCTTAGTAAACTGGGTCAATAGACCCGCTGTCTTGGGTAATATTGCTGCATGTAGGATGTGTTGGTAGGATATTTACGGTCACCATGTGCGTTAGTTTGATGATGTCCCCGGAGTGAGTTAATGATGGATTATTATGCTAAACCCTGCAGGTGGATTAAATTCCGGCATAGTAATAATGTGATGAACGAGCGCTAGCTTCGATGAAATAATAATAAATTAATTAGTTCTTGATTGTCAGTAATCGAATTAATTAATGGACATTATATCTTAAACATGTGGAGATAAATCGAGTAATTATTATTAGAGTCTCAATTGTAAATTGAGCTAGGAAAAGAGAGTGCAATAATATTACGTTGGTGGCCCATTTAATATTATTTAATTAATTAAAATAAGTGGCTTGGTCCACAAGTATTTTAATTAATTAATGAGCCATAATCCTAATATCCTAAGTGTAATAGACCATCATGTTATTAATATAAATTACGTGTTTAGTTCCGAAATAATTATTTTATCGATTATTATCGTTCGGAACTAATTATCCAAGTCAAGATTCTTCGAAATAATTTTTCGAAGTCACGTTTATGTTCGGAATAATTCTAAGTGTTCAATTGTATGCTAAGATAAGTACCAAGCATGATCAATTAATTATGCATGGTTGAATAATTAAGCACGTTAATTGTGCTTAATTTAGTACTTAAATTATGTTTTAGTTGAAGATTGCCGTAAGTTTTGTGGTTCGGTCAAATATTTCAACTTCAACATTTCATTTGGGACATGTGGAGAGATGAGAAAGGTTTAAGTAATGACTAAGCAAGTTATAATACACCTCATGCCCTATTCTCATGGCAAGTGTTAGGATGTCATTGGCTATTAAATTTTCACCTCTTGCACC